TATATATATATATATATATATATATATATATATATATATATAGCGAGAGAGAGATAACAGAATATCAAATATATTCAACATAAGATTTCAAATGTTAATTATTGCTGGAGACCTTTATACTAGAATAAACATTTATTCAGGAGAGTTCTCTGTTGTCATTGCTGTCTTGGTCACAGGGTATCTTCAGTGTTTACTCTCCAGGGTTTGCTGTTGATCTCTGTGTGTATTGCCTTTTGCAAATGTAAGAAGCGTCTGACTGAGAAGTAGTGGAGTCCTTACTGATATTTATTGGCATTGAAGGTTTGATGCCTTGGCTGGCAAACCTGAGATATTCACTTCATACCCTTTTTATTTTGCCAGTTTCTCAACAATGAACTATTTTAAAAAGAGGAAGAAAGAAATCATGGGAAAAACCATAAAAAATCACAACAAACGAGATGTAACCACTTTTTGACTACCTAGAAAGACTTCTTCAGTTCATACTGCCAGATGCTGAAAAACAAAAAGTTAAACTGACTTCTGTTAGAATTAACTATGTTGATATCATTTTAATTGCTATTATCTTACCTGTCGCAAAATCATAAACACTAAGTCATCCTGTATGTTTAAGTCATTGGACTCATCTGTAAATATTTACTATTTGGTTAATATTTAATTCACCTCAGTTGCGTCATTGGAGATGTGTAGTTACAAGGTCCTTGAGAGAGTAGACTTTACGTAATGTTAATAGAAGTACACAGCTCTGTTTCTGTGTGTTCCTGTGAATCTGACCAACGATGCTGTGATTGTGACCATCTATAGCTTGTCCTCCTATTAGGCCTGCGTTGCCAGCTGTCGTGTGCATTTCATCGGTAATATATGTTTGTTTTCTTTCTCATTTGGCTCGATTGGTTCAAATGATTTCGGGTTTGTCCCTCCCTACCACCCGAACCACACCACAACACACTGTCAATCGTAACGAGAGGATCCTTTTTGAACCACTGTTAACCCAGTTTCATCGGTGTAAGACTCAAAATCCTCAACCCACTCTCTCTAAATCTCTCCAAGATCATTAGCGCCCTTGTTTTTCACCCACAGTCTCTCTAGACTTCGCAAGTAAAGTCCCAACAGCCTGTGCAACTGTCCTCAGAAGATCAGAGGGAGGATAACAAGCAGCTATTTCTGAAATGGTACATGGTGCAAGCCCAGCAATATAAGGCTGCAGACTAAAGAAGAGAAGAAGCAGCCCCACAGATGCTTTGTTCTTGTTCCTTGTGAACTGGGATGAATGGGATGCAATGTCGGGGGGGGGGGGGGGGTGGGGGGTTACAGGATGAGATGCCTTAGACTTGATTAGAGCGTCAGTGTAAATCTTGAAGGCTTTAACAGACCTGTCCATCTCACTGATAGGACGCACGTGTCATTACGCATTATCCCCAAGGTCTGAGCGAGTCACTGATTATAAGAAAGCAGGGATGTGACCTGTTTTTGCCTTGCTGCCATATAAAACCCTCAATGAAGGTTTAACTGTGTTCCTCTATGTCTGCCTTTTTGTCCTTGGACTCTGCAGTTGTGTTAAATGTCAGCCCCACATCCGGCTACCGTCATCTCCGTTTTGATTTTGGACACTTTGTACTCACAGACTAACAAAATGAATTTACTCTTAAACATAATCAATGTATTAATCAGTCAAGTGTAACATTTATGGTTGAACATTGAGTTGTCAGTGCTTGAATTCCCTCGTCACACATAACGTAACCTTTACAATTTTTTGTAATTATATATAATCACATGTCACAGCTTAGAAGGAAGCTTGTTAGGTCCACGTCATAAAGTGATTGTTGACACTTCTTGACGTCTGTAGTTCAAACATTACGCTGCTTACATGCCGGCGACAGCCTGACCAGAGGCGTTTAAGGATTTAAGAATGGACTGATGATACATTGAACTGTCAAAGGTCAAGGGCAAGTTTTACACGCCATAACTCCAGAATTAATATGCTTATTATGACACGATGAAATTGTGAAGTGATGACATTTTGGACAGGCATTAATATAAACTGCAACTTCACCGGTTGGCGGAGGCATACAACCTCGAAGCAGTAATTCTAGTTTAAGACAAACTATGGCCGACTATGCTCTGACATTTAGTGAAATACCTTACTATGAACTAATTTTTTCTCTTATTGCATGTTATCCCACTTTATAAAAACTATTTTTAACACACTATAATACGTCATTTTTAATGGCATAATATTATTACATTTTAACTGTATTTTCATGGCATACTATATGATTTTCTTTACAGTAAAATTCATAAAAACATGAATATGAAAATATATATATATATATATATGAAAATATATATATATATATGAAAATATATATATATATATAGTTTATGGATACTATACGTTATAAGTTTTCTATGTGATTCAATATACCACTACTTTTCATGACATACTGTTGCTTTTTTATATCATTTTTATGGCGTACTATACTTTCATTTTCTATTTTTACAACCCTTTCATAACAACACCTTGCTGGCAGAGATGCCGGTCGCTGGCACAGAGGTATTATGTCAACAAGTTGTCTTTCCGGCCATCAGTCCGTCTGTCCCATTCTCATGAAAGACATATCTGACTTTTATTACATCTGGCACAAACATCCAGTTGTACTCAAGGATGGTCAAAGGTCACTGTAACCTCACAACACTAATAATTACAAGGTTGTGAGTGCAGGTGCTCAATTCATTCTACTATAGTACCAAGCCTTTCCATTGTTTATTTATAGTTTATTAAATCCAAATGAATTTGTTTCACAAATGGAAAAGAAAGAGCAGATTTCTTGTGTTTTTCTAATTATACATTCATTGCTTTTTAATTTGGTATCATTGAAGTGTCATATGAATGTTTCTTACTTTCAATAGGTTAGCCTAGGTTTAGCTTTCTCACAATTAAATTCATATTGTATATGAAATCCTGCAAAGAACTACTTAACATGATTTGCTGTGGGATATTGGTTTGTTATAGTTCAGTCTATTGCATACCTCACATTTGATTTCTCATCAGGTCCTGTTCAGAGAAAGAGAGACAGTCCACAAGGTGTCAACTAAAGGTGACAAAAAGAAATCAACACTGTTTTTTTGACAGAAAAACATGTTAAAATGTGTATCATCAGGGGAAGGAGGGCACGTTGGAGAGATCAGAATGATCTAATCAGCTTGGTTGATGCACATTTCTAATACCACATCTCCATTACTACTGTAAATTCAACTTCACCTTGAATCACATTCGCTTGCTTTACTCTCAGCTCACATGATCAGAACTGAATTTGCGTGTTAAGAGTAGCTTTTCAAAAATTCAGAACATAAATCCAAAATCAACCCCCTAAATAAATCCAAGCTGTATGAAACTCAGGAATCATATACGATGTTTAACTTCCTCTTTGGTGCTTTAATGTTAAATTGTGCGTACAAGATGGGATAGACTACAAAATCATGCTTGGCAGTGTGATTCCAAATGGCTATCTTTACGTTACGTGCATAAAATTGGGCTCAATTGAATTATGAATTATGAATTTTCTTTCCATTGCTCTGATGTGGTTATTGCGTGATGCGTTTGGGTCTTTGAAGTTCTTGCAATCGTGCCATCTCTTTTATAGAAGGCTTTGAAGTCGGTCTAGTTGCACCGTGTAGTCATGTGCCGCACTGTGCCCGCTGTGGTCACAGTGTGATACTGCAGCAGTACTGCGGATCATTTTGATAATGGTGTTTATCTATTCTATTTGATGCTTCTTTAAAATTAACCTGGATGTTTTTTCTTCATCTGGCGAGTTGATCACTAAGAATGTCAATGAATTAAGTTGAAGCTTTTCTGACCTCTCTGAAAAGTACAGTGACGGCTGCTGCTATTGTAAATGTACCGTTACATGACATGTACGTTAAACAGTCAGCTGGAGGACCAGATGACTTTCTGAACTATGCACCATGTACCACTAGGGAGCATCAGAGGACTTTTAAGAGAATTAAAGATTTGATTTGATGCTTCATTTTTGGCGGAGTTGAGTTTGTATTTGAAGATTTCTTAGGAGGGCTTTGGTGGGGTTTGAAACACTTTGTATGAATATATCAAAACAAATGGGGGTTCGTATAAGTTCACTGTAATTTCAGTGTGAAGGAACAATAGACAACAGCTCACAGGGGAACTTTAAGAAGACGTTTCACTGTCAGTTGGTAAAGGGGGGTGGTATATCCTAAGGGAATCTGATGAGAACTTTGAAGGCATATTTTGAGCACAGAGATGTAGCTTTGTTGAGCTCTATATGTCATAAAACAATATTTAATTTCTCAAGCCTTATAACGACTCTGCTAGATGTTGGGAGCAGCAGGGAGTAGGTCAAAAACAACAGCATGAAACAAGCTGTGAGCAAAGAATATTCTGCACCCATTTGGTTTGAAATGCTGTTTGAAGTTTACCATGAAAAAGAAATCACTTTCATGTAAAGATGTTTTCAGAATTATGACTTCTATCATCAGAACTCTGTGCTTTGATGAATGACACTGAGCATGGGAAATGTGATCACTACCCAAATGTATTTTTAAAAATTGAGCTATTAAATGTTCTCACAAACTTATACCCAAAATCCTTTTTTTTGGTTTTGCTGACGACTGAGTATATTGTTTTAGGCAACTGTCCATATTTCAGGTTTGTTACACTCAAAATCTCTTTACACACTTAAGAGTTCAGAACAGCTT